CCGTTGGGTTGGTTTAGGAATTCTGGAGGAGCGTCTTAGTTCCGGTGTGCCTGGTTCTTCTTGAACTGCTTCAGGACTAATCTAAACATCATTTTCAGAAATCTCCTCAAACTCAGCAAATTCCTTTGTTTCAGCTTTGGTATTATAGCTGCTTGATTCTACAGTTGTCATGTCTTTGTACATCACATTCTCATTGAAAATGACATCTCTGCTTCTAATGATCTTCCGATTTTCATAGTCCCAAAACCGGTAACCGAACTCATCACCGCCGTAACCAACAAAGGCACATTTGTTGGACTTAGCATCAAGTTTACTTCTTTCAGCAGAGTCTATGTGTACATAAGAAATACAACCAAACACTCTTAAGTGTGAAAGGTTTATTTCTTTCTTGCTCCAAACTTCCTCTGGTATTCTGCCATCCAAAGAAATTGAGGACCCACGGTTGATCAGGTAAGCTGCAGTGTTGATAGCTTCAGCCCATAGAAATTTGGGCAATCCGGCATGTATCCTCATGCTTATGGCACGTTCATTCAGAGTTCTGTTCATGTGCTCTGCTACGCCATTCTGCTGCGGTGTCATGGGAACTGTTGTCTCCATCTTGATCCCATTGTTTGCACAAAAATCTCTGAATCTCCTATTTCTATACTCTCCTCCATTGTCAGACCTCAACCGCTTAACTTTCATACCAGTCTCATTTTCCACCATGGCCTTCCATTTTCTGAAGGTATCAAAGACTTCTGATTTTTTCTTCAGAAAATAAACCAACACCTTCCTTGTAGAATCATCGATGAAGGTGACATAATATAATGAGCCTGCAAGAGATGGAACTGGAGATGGTCCTCATACATCAGTATGAACTAACTCTAACTTTTCAGCCATGGGTGTCTTACCAATCTTTGCAATGCTGACTTTCTTTTGTTTGCCAAAGATGCAATCCTCGCATAGTCCGATATCTACATTCTTTAGATCCGGTACCTTTCCCTTTGACAAAAGTGTCTTTATCCCTTTCTCGCTCATATGGCCAAGCCTTTGGTGCCATAGGTTTGATTTTCCATCAGCATCTGATACTGCAATGATATTCTCTAAATTTGAGGTTACATAGAGAGTACCAGTCTTCTTACCATGAGCAATGACGAGTGCTCCTTTGGTAATCTTCCATTCACAGTCTGAAAAGGTTGTACTGTATCCTTCTCCATTAAGCTGTCCAACAGAAATCAGATTTATTTTGAGGCCAGGAATATGTCTCACTCCTGTCAGCTTCCAGGTGGTCTGGTTTGGCAACTTTAGTCGGATGTCTCCTTTTCCGACGATCTTCAAGGTTTCATCATCAGCTAGATGAACCTTCCCAAAATCACCACTGACATAGTTCTCCATGATTTCTTGGCACGGGGTGGAGTGGAAAGATGCTTCTGAATCCAAGATCCATGATTCAATCGGACTGTTGACACTTAGAATCATGGCATCACCTGTCTCATCTGTCATGTTGGAAGATTCTTGTGCACCGGTATTTTTCTTTAGTGCTGGGCAATCTCTTTTGAAGTGACCATTCTTACCGCAATTATAACATGTAAAATCTTTATTTCCTGTTCTTGATTTTCCCCTTCTGGATTTCGATCTGCCACGATTTGAATTTCTTTCTGAAATTCTCCCTCTAGACTCCGTGTGCAAGGCTGAGGAGGTTGATGCTTCACCCGATTCTCTCCGTCGAATTTCTTCACTCAATACCAGGTCCCAAACATCGTCGAATTTTAATTTGCTGTTTCCCGAAGAACTGCCGACTGCTGTAACAGTAGCATTCCAACTGTCTGGTAGAGATGATAAGAGAATTAAAGCTCGAACTTCATCATCGAATTCAATTTCCACTGAACTCAACTGGGTTGTGATTGTGTTGAGTTCATTTAGGTGTTGTGCCACCGATGCCCCTTCCGTCATCCGCAAATTGAATAATCACCTCAATAAATGAACTTTGTTTGAAGCCGATGGCTTCTCATACATACTGGAGAGAGCCGCCATAAGACCCGCCGTGGTCATTTCCTTTGCTATATTTAAAGTAACATTTCGGGACAACGTCATTCGGATGACTCCGAGGGCTTGTCGGTCGAGAAAAGCCCAGTCTTCATTCTTCATGCCCTCTGGTTGCTTTCTTGAGAGAGGTTGATAAAGATTTTTCTGGTACAGAAAATCTTCAATCTGCATCTTCCAAAAGCCAAAGTCCGCACCATCGAACTTTCCAATTTTCACATTCCCTTCGTCTGCAGCCATCGCTCCCACTCGAATCTGGCTTCTTTGGATCGTTTCTGACAATTTGTGTGAACCACCGTATATTATAACACCTCCGTCGACAAATTCGTATCGCCGACAAAATTTTTACTATTCACGAAATTTACTATTCACATGAATAGTAATGAATAGTAACCTCGCAAAAATTGATAAAATTTACAACCAAAAGCTCTAATACCAGTTGTTAGGAAATAAACCGAGTACAAGTAATTTCCCTATAATCAGATTAGTGAGAATGCGAAATAAAAGCGGAAAAATAATACCCGAAAATTGATAACGGAGTTCAGCCAATTGTGCTTACGTCTCTAGCTGCTGCAGATCTTTTACTAAGAGAGAAAATTTACATGTGTTTACAAAACACTCACTACTCACAAGAAAACTCTCTAGTATAGGAAGAAAGAAATGTTTTGGGATGATTTTGAAGCTAAATGAGCTAGGGTATTTATAGTTGAAACTTAGGACTAAACTTGTAATTAACCCTAAAGTGAAAAAGGACTAAAAAAAACCACATTCCCCATTTTGTTTTAGCAGCCGGCTGCTACTTAGCAGCCCAACTTGTTCTTTTTTTTTTAATTTTCAACAAGCCTTGTAGTACTCAAATACCTAAATTTCTCAGTAGTATATCTTGGGCAATTGACACAAAGACATACAAAATATAATTATTCATAAGTATATCTTTGATACAGAAATTAAGAAGCTCTTTGGAAAACAATTGAACAAAACAAATAAGACTTTTGTTAATAAGTTAGCACTATTAGTATTGCCTCACGAAGTCATCGACTTAGCGTGTGTTCTTTTACGTATAGGTTTGAAAAAGGTTGTCGAGTGATTTGGGGTTAAAGATAACATACACTTTTGAAGATCAGATCAGTACAAATTGAATGTAGGTTTTGTTTATTTTGTAAACTGTTGGCATGTATTATACGTTTAATTTGAAATGCTATAGTCGATTTTGTAAACTTGTATAATTTTGTATTTGGTAAACTCTTACTTTTGTTTTATCTATGTAAATTATTAATATTTTATGTGAAATGATTTTATATTTGGAACAATAATTTTTAAAATTTTGCCTATTTGTGAATTTCGTATGTTTGAAAAGTCAAATGTGACACATCAGATTCGTATCTGGGTTGGGTACGGGTCAGGAGTGTTACATTTAATGGTATTAGAGTTATGGTTTAAGTGATTTTAAGTTCGAAATAAAGTTTTTTTTGGTTTTAAAAAGAGTACATGCTAATTTTTAATAAAGTTTTTTGATCTGATAAGGGGACCAATATGTTATCTTCGTTAATACCTTTAGTAATTTGATCTTAATAGATGTCGAATTTTGAAGGCTCCCGAAGTGATAGGATGGAGGAGAGTAGTAACTCCCCTGCCCCTAGTAGATAATGTGAGGAACAGGCATAGCCTAGAGTGCCTGTTCAAGATCAGAGAACATTATTTCAGACGTTGGACGCTATCCTGACGCGTTTCCAACCGTCTGTCTCTTCATCTCCTAAGATGAATGTTCCTAAAGAGCTGAGAAGTTTAGGAACGCCAAAATTTAGGGGAGAACCGGAAGAAGGTCCAGCTGTCGTCGATATCTGGCTTAATGATTTGAAAGTGATGTTGAGAATCTCCACTGTTCTGAAATAGAGAAATTGGATGGTGTGGTGTCTTTATTAAGAGGCCAAGCCAGGATATGGTGGTCTAATGTGACGATAAGGGCGTCAAAAGAGCATGAGACGTGGTCATTCGTTCTGGAGGAGTTTAAGAATAAGTACATAGGGGATCAGTTTATTCGGCAGATGAAGTAGGAATTTATGAATTTAAAGCAAGGGAATCGCACGGAGTATGAGTTTGACTGTGAATTCAACAAGTTGAGTAGATTTGCTACCAAGTTAGTTCCTACGGAGAAAGACTCTTGTGATTGGTTTGTGGAGGGTTTGCGACCCATATTGAAAGAGCTGTTGTTGGCTCTTAACCTCTCTTCCTTCCAAGAGGTTGTGAATCGAGCTAAAGTTCTGGAGCAATATCAAAATGAAAGGTTTGCGGAGCAGCGGACGCAATGGAATAAAAGATCTGGTGCATCGTCCGGTTTTTCGCAATCAAAGAAGTGTAAAGGTTCAAGTTCTCGAACTTATACCAGAGCAGAATCTGCAGTATCCTTGGGTAGAGGATCAAATCCGGGAATAGCAAGACAAGCTTATTCGGTGGAATCCGGAGTGGACAAGCCGAAGCAATGTCAGCACTATGGAAAAAACCATGGTGGAGTGTGCCGACGGGTCTCTGGAGCTTGTTTTAAATGTGGAGAGGCAGAGCATTTTATTCGAGACTGCCCAATGATGACTGGAGAGCCTGCTCAGATAGAGAGATCTATGGTTGTACCAGTGAGAGGAAGAGGTTAAGGAAGATGAAGAAATCAATACGAGTATATTGTTCAACCTAAAGTGGGTTCTACAACTCGGGTTTACAATTTGAAGACCAGTGAAGATTGCGATGACCTGGAAGTCATTACAGGTACTTTTCAGATAGTTGGTAAATCTGTCATAGTTTTGATTGATTCGGGCTCAAATTACTCCTATGTCATTAGTAAATTGGTTAAAGAATTAAGCCTTCCGTTAGAGCCTATTCGTAGTGAGATGATTGTGACGAATCCATTATGAAATAGTGCTCGAGTGAGACAAGTTTGTAAAGAGTGTCCCATAAAGATTCAGGGAATTGAATTCCCTGCTTATCTAATGGAATTGCCCTTTGATGAATTTGAGGTTATTATGGGGATGGACTGGCTTTATCATTATTATGCTAACTTAGATTATCGACTTAAGCGAGTGCAGTTAACAAGTCTTGAGGGATTGGAAGTTAGTGTGGCCAGCGAAAGAATGCATCCTTTAACTAATGTGATATCAGTAATGTCGGCTCAGAAGTTAATGCGGCAAGGATGCTAAGCGTACATTGCTAATGTAATTGATACAAGAGTTACCGGAAATAAGCTTGAAGATATTTCGATAGTCCAAGATTTTCCAGACGTGTTTTCAGATGATTTGTCGGGGTTACCTCCTGATAGGAAGGTTGAGTTTCAAATTGAAGTGATGTCAGGATCAACACCCATTTTGATGGCTCCTTACAAGATGGCCCCGACAGAGTTGAAAAAGTTAAAAGCTTAGTTACAAGAGCTTTTGGATAAAGGGTTTATAAGACCTAGTGTGTCACCGTAGGGAGCTCTAGTGTTATTTGTTAAGAAGAAATATGGTTTAACGCGTCTTTGTATAGATTATCGTCAGTTGAGTAAGGTGACCATAAAGAACAAATATCCTCTTCCAAGGATAGACGATTTATTTGATCAACTCAAGGGAGCGGCCGTGTTTTCAAAGATCGATTTACGCTCAGGGTACCATCAGTTGAAAATTCAAGAAAAATATGTTTATAAAACGGCTTTTAGGACTCGGTATGGTCATTATGAATTTGTTGTAATACCATTCGGGTTAACAAATGCACCTGCAGTATTTATAAACTTGATGAATAGAGGTTTTCAACCGTACCTTGATCAGTTTGTGGTCGTCTTTATTGATGACACCTTAGTGTACTCTAAGTCGAAAGAGGAGCATGATATCCGTATTCGTGTAGTTCTTCAAAAGTTGCGATATAAGAAGCTTTACGCGAAGTTCTCCAAATGTGAGTTTTGGTTATCGGAAGTTGCGTTTTTAGGGCATGTGGTTTTTGATGAGGGAATTCGTGTAGACCCACAAAAAGTTAGACCTGTGTTAGAGTGGAAGGTTCCAAAAAATATGTCGGAAGTTTGAAGTTTCTTGGGTCTCGCAGGTTATTATCGAAGGTTTGTCAAAAACTTTTCAATGATATCTCTGCCTTTAACAAAATTTTTGAGAAAGGATGTACATTTTGAATAGACTCCTGATTGGCAGAAAAGATTTGAAACATTGAAGAAAGTTCTGACTGAAACTCCGGTGTTGGTGCAACCAGAATCAAACAAGGATTTTACAATTTTTAGTGACGCTTCCCATAATGGTTTGGGTTGCATTTTAATGCAAGATGGGAATGTAGTTTCTTATTCCTCGAGACAGCTGAAGCCTCATGAAAAGAATTACTCAACACATGATTTGGAGTTAGCAGCTGTGGTTTTTACATTAAAAATTTGGAGGCACTATTTGTATGGCGAACGTTGCTACATATTCACTGACCATAATAGTTTGAAGTACTTGTTGACTCAAAAGGAGTTAAATTTGACACAAAGAATGTGGATGGAATTGTTGAAAGATTATGGCGCGATCATTGATTACTATCCCGGTAAAGCTAACATTGTAGCAGATGCTCTGTAACACCCTCAACCCGTATCCGACCCATATCCGAGTCCGAAGTGTCACATTGACTTTTTAAAACCTTTACTTGTATAAAATAGTGAGTAATTTAAAATTTATTATTACATATAACTTATTCAAAACCTTTACCGAACTATTCACAGCTTATACAATATATTATTTTGAATACATGCCAACTAGAACTTTATATATTAAAATACATATTATTCACCTTTCTTCTGATATGACCTTTGGTAAGGAGAACTGACATGTCTTGCTCCATATTGCTCTTTACTCTTCACACTTCGGTAACCTACGTGTGAAACAATCACACGCTAAGTCTATGACTTAGTGAGGCAATAAACATAAAATATAAACTATAGATTGTAATCATGCATGAACAATTACTACTATCACTCATACCCTTATTCATGTAACAAATCCCTATAACACATATGCAATATATCATTACATATAAGAACATATACACACATATATTCATCACTCATCATTTCCATCATTAGCCTTATTTCATTATCAATATTATTATCGTTTATATCACTTAATACATATCCTCTTATACCTAGCATTTTAACCAACATTTGACTCATTTAATCATGCAATCCACATATCATCATATAAATCATATAATACCATTTATAGCATAAAAGCATACAAGTCACATGTAATATATTTGTTGTTATTTCTTTATTAGCCCATGTACACATGTGAAAACTATAGATATGTGAGTCTATAGAGGTTGTGCACTAATGTTGTCACCACAGCTCGTATAAATACACCAAAGTGCCACGTAAAATTGCACCGTAGTGCCGCGTAGAAATGCACCGAAGTGCCATATAAGGTTATCCCTAAGGACCACGTAGAAAATTCCTTAAGAATCATATACATATGCCAAGGATCAAGTATGTGTCTCAAAAGACCTCACACATGTTCCAAAGAATACATATATCCCGAAGGACCGTGTAGACCCTTGAATCTTGGCATGCCAACTATACCCTAGCTCTCATGACACATAACATTGGCATCATCATTTATGTCATTTCACATTTTCACATAAACACGTAGTTCACTTTCACATAGCACGTAGATTATGTCACATAACTTGAATCATATATACGTATAAATACGTAAATCACTTTCACATATCACGTAGCTCATATCCACTTTTCATACTATTTCACATTTCTCGTCACATTGCTTATATCTTATTTTATATATATATATATATATATATATATATATTCACATGTTCATATAATCCATCATTTCATCATCTAAATGTGTATTCATATAATTCATCTTCCTATATATATATATATATCATTTTTCTATACTTGTATTCACATCATTTATATTCTCATTCTCATAATCTCATATGTCCTGATTAATAGCTTATATCATATATGTATAAAATAACTTATATTATATCATACAGCTTATACCTCATTCTATGATATTCACCTAGATCATATCACCTCTATCATACTCATAAACATATATTACTTCTATTATTTCATTTATATACTAATCTAATCTATTTACCTATTTCAATTTATATAGTACCTATAACTTTCTAATATGACTACGTAGATTTCCATCATACAACCCATATATCATAATTTTATTTAAGCATATGTATCTTTCCCATCTAACTCATCTTATATGTTCCTATTATCACTTATGTTCAAGTCTCTTATTTGATCTACTATTCTCATATCATCATATAGGTCAATATTATCTATCTTGTTTCAATTCTCATTCAATGATATAATTCTATTTTACTATTTCACATAAATGTTCATACCACTATTCACTTACCCAACTCACATTCTTATTGTTTATATAACCTTTACACTTGATTACTTCATTCCTATTATTTCTTCTAAACTCGCTTTTTACCATATTCCCATATTATTACCTAATTTATCCCATATCATGTTTTCGCGTAATCTTATATTATATTTCTATATATCTCAAAGATCTTATCACATAACTTCTCTTTTATATTCATATAATTTCTTATCATATCATATAGTTTATATCATCATAACATAGTATATATTTATATCAACCATGAAATACATATACAATAACATGTCAACACATACCATAACATATAACTCAAACTCTCATAACAAACACATGTTCATGTTCATGCTTCATGCACAATACTATAGAAAATAGACTTGTCGCAAGTCTTATTTCACATTAAACATCATTATAAAATAATGCGCACTCACCTTGGCCTCACTAAGTTCCAATCCATTTTTATAATTTCCTCTCTTGCGATCGAATCATAACTTTATAATCGTTCCGGGACTTGTTCGTGCTCGATGTCTATATAATCATACATTGATACATATTAGTATCCGATTGATATACACTAATCTATCATTTCTTAGACCAAAAGAAAAGTATAATTTTATTTCCCTTGAAGTGCATCGATGCACTACCCATGCATCGATACACAAATCACCTTCGATGTTTTCATTTTAAGGGGGTGCATCGATGCACTCCTTATGCATCGATGCACTAATTGCATTCGATGTTTCCATTTTTATTGGGTGCATCGATGTACTTCCTATGCATCGATACACACTGAACAATTTCTGGAAATTTACCCTTGATACATCGGTGCACATTGAATGTGCATTGATGCACATAGCCCAGAATTCATTTTTAAGCCCGAAAAATCTACTCAAATCAACTCAAATGCTTCGTCTTTCATCCCCTTTCATGTTCTCAACTCATATACACAAGCTTAAACCAATTTATATCCATATAAACCATCTTTAACTTCAAAATTCTATTCCTCATATGTAACTCAAGAATTAAACCAACTTTGCAATAAGTTTTAATTCCAATTCTATGGCTTCTAACTTCTTAATTAGGCCCTTTACGAGTCAAATTTAACTTTCAACTCTAGTTATGAACTCTATTTCAAGATTTTACCCAAGAACCTCAAATCTTTAATCCCTCCTAACTCCATCATACTTTGATTTTAAGATAACTTAATCTTTCCTTAAGCTTAGTTATCATCTAATAATCAAAACCCAACCTTAAAATCAACAATTAATCCATAAACAAAGAAACTCACCTTTGAGCTTGGAGATACGGGAGGAGGAAGAAGAAGAAAGAAAACTCTGGATAATTCTCTCCTTTCCCACGTGGTTCCTTTTCTTATAAAAGGAATATAAAAATCTTACTTGTTAATTTACCATTTTACCCTTTAATTCATTCAATAATTACTAAATAACCTTCATCATATTTCCATTAAATCATTGAACTATTCAATTATCCTACTTTAATCACCAATTTCTAAAACTTTACAATTTGATCACTAACCCAGTATTGAGGATGTTACATGCTCTCAGTCGGAAAACTTTTATTTCTTTGCGTAGTTTGGATGCTCGAATGGTGTTAAAATAAAATAGTGCATTGATGGCTGAGTTAAGATTGAAACCATTGTTGTTAGATCAGATCAAGGAGTTATAAAAGAAAGATGATAAGTGTTTAGCTTGGTTTGATTGAGTAGAGAATATGGGACTTGAGGACTTTGAGATTAAGTCGAATGGGTGTTTATATTTCAAAAAATCGTGTGTATATCCCTACTGACCGTGAGCTGAAATGAGATATTTTGTATGAAGCACATTATAGTCCTTTAACGACAGGAGGGAACAAGATGTATCAAGATTTGAAAGAGCGTTATTGGTGGCCGGGTATTAAGATAGATATTATAGAATTTGTAGCAAAATGCTTAAATTGTCAACAATTGAAAGCTGAGTATCAGGTGCCTTTCGGTTTGTTGCAACCCATCTCAATTCCGCAGT